CCCTTCCCTTCCCTTCCCTTCCCTTCCCTTCCCCTTTCCCTTTCCCTTTCCCTTTCCCTTTCCCTTTCCCTTTTCCTTTTTCTTTTTCTTTTTCTTTTCTTGGGATCATTTAATTAAAAATGAATGAGAAACTACTGCAAAGCAAATCTGTCCTTAAGCATAATTGTATTTCTAGCAATGTCTTCTGATCTCACATACATACTCAAAATTCCAGATGTACCCATGTACCCAAAAGTATGAAGAGTTGGAACTTCAAATGAAAAGATGAAGAACACAATGATTCTAAAGCTTTTAAAAAACCCATTAATACAATATCTGTAAATCTAACAAACTTTCAAGAAGATAAAGAAGGATAAATTATTATTAAAATTGTAGCACAGTGGCATTGGGTTATCTTCTGCACAGTTAGATTAGGTACAAAACCTATATTAACAACCCTACTGCGGTGAAGGTGAAGTAGGAATGCTCTTCAAGTCTTTCCATTTCAGACTCATAAAATGGATGTTTTGATTTTACTATTTCAACCTACAGGAAAATGTCAAGCAGTTAAGTCACATAAAAGAAAGAGAGAAAATGGTTGGGAGAATGATGTCTGTGGAGTCCGTGGGGTTCTCTGAGCTTGGTTGTTTTCTTGCAAACGTTTTGTTACCCGGCTAGGTAACATGTTAACATGCTTCTATTAGAATGATATCTAGACAATGCAATAATATTATATATGGTTGTTCAACCAAATGGTCATACTCATTTGAGGAGACTTTAGAGAGTTTATGCAGTTGGTTTTTATAAAGAACAGGAAAATATTATCCATATAAAGTTGTTATTACCTATCCAAGGGCCACAAATGACTTCAGAGTGTGTTTCCAGAAGGGTGGCTCTGAATGCTGTTCATTCAAAAGACATTGAGCAGCTAGCTATTCCATCTTTCCTTGTTCAGTGGTTTTTCTGGGTAAGAAAAAAGATGGAAGAAGCAATATAGGAGGTGTTTACAAATGGAAGACAACATATTCTGCCAGCACTGGAAAATTTCAGGAATGAGTAAAGGTGATTTCCTCATAAAAAGTTGGCTGGAAGCACCTTTGGTCAGAAAATTGAAATAATATGTCATTTTGATTCTCAGATATATTTTCAGGGATCCCAGTATCAGTTTTGCCAAAAAAAAATTGCTGTTTGATCTTTGCAAACATTCTTAAAATTCTCCAGTTTAGATTCTACCCAAGAATCTTAGTGAGGAATTTGATTATGCAAATGTGTATGGCATGTATGATGTCATATGGTTGACAAATGTGTTAATAGCAAAGCTATAAAACTCATTTGTTTTGGGGCACTTTTCATATCAGGGCTGAGAATGCTTGGACTTTAAATCGCTTCACGGAAAGGCCTACTTCCAACTGGTTGTCCTTCAAATTTGTTGGAACCATGACTCCCAGGATACTGCCTGGGAATTCTGGGGACTGTAGTCCAAAGTTCTCAACACCTCTAAAGGGCAACAGGCTGGAGAAGATTGGCACAGACCATTTAAAAATATCAGAGACCTCATAGGATCTGGATCTTGTTACTCTATTGTACTTTCAGTGAAACATGAATCACCATAACTTGGAAAACAAATTACATAACTTGGAAAACAGACTCTCCTCCAAGACTTGTCTCCTCCCTCAAGGCAAGATTACCCAAAGGTATTGTAGAAGGTAAAGTTTATGGGCCTCCTATTGGTAACCACCTGCCACTATTTAACAAAAGTGTATCTCAGCACAAACCCTAAGGCTAAACTAAAATGGTTTGTTTGCTTTCTTTTCATGGAGATGCACATTGTGGAGATGTAGACAGTAAACAGGCATGACTCAGTGCATCTCTGTCTCAGAAGGAATGTAGGAACTGTCTCTCATAAAATTCCCCAAAGAACTCTGTCCAGTTCTGTGAGATCTCATCATTTCCCTACATGAACTGATTTTACCTAGAAATGGCCCAAACCATTTCCAAAATGGTCCAGGTGGGTGGAGGGAGTCAGGCTGAGGAAAGCAGAGATATCCTGAGGATGTTGCTATCTTTTTCGGCTGCTAACTGCAGGAGGATGCTGAGCAAGAGGTTTTTAAGGAAGTTTTCTCATCAAACTCTCTGCTCCCATCCCAACCTGGAAGAAACCTCAGGAAAATAGTTGGAAAGACCTTCTTCTAAATACAAGATGAATTCCTTGCCAAAGTCAAGCCTTTAAGCTTACTTTCCCTTTGAACCATTGCCAAAGAAATGGCTAAGATTATTTATCACGTAGTTTAAGTCATCATCTGTTCACTTGGGAATCTTTCACTCAAAGGTAGAGCAACCGTTCCTTGCTTTGAAGCAGTTACTTTTAAATAGGGCTTCTGGATCAGGCTGCAAAAATCCAGATGACCAATAAACAGCAAAGAGTGAGTCATCTGGATTTTTGCAGCCCTGATCCAG